TTACCGCCGGGCCTGCCTTTCCCCTTTCATTGCTATTTTTTTCTGCTTCTCTGAGCTGCGTCACACCCGGGCCCGGTGTCGCCTGCATTGCCTGATTTGCGTGTTCACCGCCTTTCTGGCACAGCAAACAAGCAGTGCGCAGATCTGCCAGCCGGGCTCGGAACGGGGGTTGAGCTGCTGCTTCAGCCTCCTCCACAGTGCTGCGGCCATCCGCCCTGCCTTCTCCTGCTGCTTAAAGCCTGCCTTAATTCTCTTTCACCCAGAAAAACAAAACACCCAGTTTGTTTTGAGATGTGCAGAAAAATTCTTCCACTAGGAAAACCAGTCCATTGCAGAGGGATAGGAGAGAAGTGTGTAACAAAGACAGACCTTTCATTTCATTGTTGTTTTTTTTTTTTCTTCTTTCTTTTTTATGGTTACATTTGGATTGCATTTTCTCTCTCCTGAAATCTTCCAAACTCTACAGGACTTTTCTTTCCGTTTCCTTTTTACGCCAGGCCATTACATTTTTGACACCAGCTTTTTGTCTAAACACAACTTTCAGCTCAATTTCCACTGCAAAAAAACAGATCTGGGAGTACTAAACACAGAGTTCATTTGGAAGCAAGAAGTAAAAATAGTGGGAAGATAAACTGCTCTCTCACAGGCCTCATGGGCAAATGGCAACTGGGAGGGGTACAGTCACTACCTTTTTCTTTTTCCACGGTGAGGTTATTTGTGTGTCTCCAGCTGCTTCTCAGCCCGCCTTTGCCTAGGCTGCTTTTGTCCAGCCAGCTGGGATTCTTTAACTTGCTGCTGATAGTGTTTAGAAGCTGAGTTAAGAGTCCTAAAGTAGCTCACTACTCAGCCTCCTTCATTAAAACAGTGCAGCTGCTTTTCAGGCACCGCCGAATACTGCTGTGGAGCTGGAAGGGGAAGCGGTTTCCTTCTGAAGCGGGAGAGGAGGAGTGTGAGCCCTGATGCTTCAAAGGGAAAATGTTACTTCACCCCCATAAGCTTAACGGCACTGTGGAAGTATTAACCAGAAACTCAGAGCCATTTGGGGGAGAGGCAGTGTGTGGCTTGATCATTGAATTAGCATTGGCATGCTGCAGAAATTATTGTAGTTCAAAGAAGCCTGGCTGACTTGGGAGCTTCTTTAGGGCTTTTGGTGCAGCCCTTGAATAAATACGACCTTTTAAAAGCACTTTAACTGTTTATGGAGCTGGCCTGTGAATGAGAGGAGGGAAATAGATAGTTTGCAGTTGAGGAAAGGAGGAATTGCTGGGCAGGAAGGCTTTAATTACACAAGGGGGGAGAATCGGCTTGTTTTTTCTCCATCAAAGCCAATGGGTGTAACAGCTTTTGTGTTCCTTTTCAGTGATGATGGGGTGCCAGTTGTTTAGCTCTGGCAGGTAGTGTGGCAGGTGTAGCATCTTCAAAATACACTTTGGATGCTCTGGTCTTCAGCCAGGAGCAAATGTAGCATTAAGTCTTGACGCAGCCTGCTTTGTGAAGCTGTTTCTGCATTTGTGCCTTTGGCTGACCAAGAAGTGTGTCACTTGCCTAAAGAGTGGTTTAGCACTGTTAAGAGAGTCTGGTTTGCTGCTTTAAAACCAACCAACCCACCCATCCACTTTGATATGTGATGAGCCCTGATGGGGTTTTATCACTATGAGCTGCAGCTACGAAGGAAGCATGGTGCTGTTGTGGTGGAAGCAACCACAGGTGTTTGTGGGACTCTTTGTGGAGTGTAGGCTATGAACATGTTGGTTTTGCTGGCCATGATGGTGTTGAAATAGCTGTGTTAAAGCTTGATACCTTCTTGTGGCCTCTACAGAGGTAAACCAGACAATATTGCTATATATTGCTAGTAAAGGATCTGTTGAAAGAATAATATTCTTATGAGCCTGTATGACTTTCACTTCTACGGAAAGAAAATACCCCAGGAAGTTGGTGATGGGGAAATTGCAAAATTTGATGGAGCAGGTTACGACAAAGACTTGGTGGAAGCTCTTGAAAGGGACATTGTGTCAAGGAATCCAAGCATTCATTGGTATGAGCATTTTCTCAATTCAAGTGGGTTTTGCTAGTATGGAGAAGGAGAGAAATTATCCTTCTTCTAACTCTTAAAACAGGGAGCCATCATAATCTTCTACAGATAAGCAAAACAAGGTCTTTTGGTTTTAACAGTTTATTAATTTGATTACAGTTAAGCTTTTGTTGCGAACTGGTATTATGTGCAGTACATCCATTACAGGTACTGCTGAAATGAAAGTACACTCCAGAGAACTTTAAAGATACCGCTTTGGTGTTCACATTGTTCAAAACAATTTTTAATTAAGCAGCTCTGGGTAACTTGAATTGAAAATAATTTTTTCCCTGCCTTCCAAAAGTGGATTCAGTTTTAGGTCACAGGATTGTAGGAGTGCTCTCATGAGGCATATGCTGCCATGCTAAAAGAGATGGTACTAAGAGAAAAAGCTTTTCTGTTTTTTTTGTATAAAAATAGAAGAAATATTGTTGTACAGGAATTTTATACAAGTTTATTCATCTTGCACAGGGATGACATAGCGGATTTGGAAGAAGCCAAGAAATTATTAAGAGAAGCTGTTGTTCTTCCAATGTGGATGCCTGATTTTTTCAAAGGGATCAGAAGACCTTGGAAGGTGGGAATTTATTTGGTATTTTAGTAAATGGCAAGCTGTAGTTATGTATGTCTGCTGCTGTAATGTGTCTGGATGCCTGCGGCAGAAGGCTAAAAAGGCAAATGGGAAAGATCAGGAATTTGTTCATGAAATCATCTCATAATGATTCATGTAAAACACACTGAAAGAAACAGCTGGAAGTGTGTACGGGCTTTATGGTAAATAATAATTCTTTTGTATTTACTCAGTCATAGCTTTTTGATGTTATAATACTTTCTATATGTCAGCCTGTACATGTGAGGAAGCATATAGGGTATATTGGCAGAAGTAGAAATGCTTAGTAGATAGCTCTGCTTGGGTTTATGGTGCCCACTCTTCAACACTTCACGCAGGAGAGCAGTCCTCTGACGGTTTTATTCACACGTGCCGGCTATATCTCACTCAGACTGCAAACTGCAGGCTGGGTGGTGCAAGGGAGCAAGGAGAGGGGGCTAATCTGAGTGATGATGTAGCTTTGCAGTGATACTTGCAGCTGGACATAGTTACTGCTGGAATGGGAGAAATTCAAAGTGGGAGAATGAGCTTCAAGTGGGACAGCAGGAAGGATATAGGACTGAGCTGGCCTGTCTGATGGACCAGAGGTGAGCCCAATCTGGACCTAGCTTAGAGCTTAAAAGGAAGAGGAGGGAGGAGGTTGCTGAACATTTCTGTAAACAGAAAATAAAATTATCTTGCTTTTGTTGTGGGATAGATTGACACTTATTTTGGGAATAACTAGTCACAGCACAAGAGCTTTCTGGTTACTGAGAAGGTTACTGGGGAAAAGAGACTGTTGCAAATTGTTATTCTGAGCCTGCAAGGCAATGGCATGTGTAGGG